ATACATATATACATATATATATCACAGTTTATTTGCTATTCTTTTGTCTATGAACATTGTTCACAGTAGTCCAAAGCTGAAGCATACTTTTTGTCCGTTGCCAACTTTTGATTTAGTTGCTTTGTTGTAAATTTTCAAATTAGGAAATGTGAATCTTCCAAATTTGTTCTTGTTTTTCAAGAATGTTTTTGCTGTTCAGAGTCCCTTGAGATTGCATATGAATTGGAAAATAGATTTTTTTTCCATTTTTGCAAAAAAATCATTGGGATTTTAATAAGGATGGCGTTAAATCAGTAGATCACTTTGGGTAATATTGACATCTTGATATTAAGTATATGAACATGGGGTTTCTTCCCGTTTACTTACTGACTTCATTAATTTTCTTTGGCAATGTATTACATTTTTCATTGCGTGAATCTGTCACCTTTTTGGTTAAGCTGATTCCTATTTCATTCTTATTTATGTTATGGCAAATGAGATTCATTTCTTAATTTTCTTTTCATATTATATATTGTTGGTAAATACTGTCTTAGCCTCTTGAGTAGCTGAGATTACAGGCCTGTGCCATCATGTCAAGCAAAAGAGCCTTGTTTTGAACCTTTCAAGGGCTTACCCTCAGTGACCTACTTCCTGCTGAGAGGACCCACCTTCTGAGTTTCCTCCATCTTTTAATAGCTAAGATATGAGTCATCAGTGGCTTCATCCACTGATGAGGTCTGATCCCTCATGATCCCATCACCCATCAAAGACCTTGCCTCCCCCCCCCCTGCTGCGTTGGGGACCACGCCCTCCACACGTGAGCTTTTGGGTGGCATTTCATATTCAAACCCTGAGAGTAGTTTTATCTGTTTTCTTGGCATTGGGACAGTGTTGACTTCACAGAATGAAACAGGAAGTGTTTGAGAAGGATTGATGTTTATTGTTCTTTACATGTTTGATAGCTTTCAGCAGTGAGACCATCTGGTCCTGGGCTTTTCTTTGTTGGAAGCTTTTTGAATATTGATTCAATTTCCTTACTGGTTATAAATCTGTTCAGATTTTCTCTTTCTTCATGTTTGGTCCTGGCAGTTTGTGTGTTTCTAGGAATTTGTCCATGCATTAAGTTACACAGTTTGCTGTGCACAGTGGTTCATAGAATTCTCTTATAGTCCTTTTAGTTTTTGTAAAATTGGTCATAATGCTTATTTATTTATTTATTTTGCACTCCCCTCACTTCTCTCTGTGTTGCTCTTCTTCAGTGCTGTGGATTGAACCCAAGGCTTTTGGCATATGCTAGGCAAACACTTTACCACTGAACTGTACCCCCAAGCCCATTCTCTCTTAGTCTAGCTAAAGGTTTGTCACTTTTTATGACCTTTAAAAAAACAAGTATTTGTTTTGTTGACTTTTAAAATTGTTTTTCTAGTTTTTCTTTGCTATAATCCTTTTTTTCTCCTAGCTTTGGGTTTATTTTGTCCTTTTCAAATTTCTCTCCCCCGCCCCCTCTCTCTCTCTCTTTCTTTTAAGAGGGACTCTTGCTAAGTCATTAAGTTGCCTAGGCTGGGCTCGAATTTGTAATCCTCTTGCCTAGGCTTCTTCGGGTGCTGGGATTATGGGAATATACCATCATGCCCAGCTTTTTTCCCCTAGTTTTTAAAGGTGTTGTGGTAGACTGCTGATTTGAAGTCTTTTTCTTTCTTAATATAAATATCTACAACTCTAAATTTCTCTCAGAAGTGCTTTCACTGCATCCTATTAGTTTTGATTTTTTTTTTGGTACCAAAATCGAACTCAGGACCTTATGCTTGCCAGGCAAGCGCTGTGCCACTAAACTGTATCCCCAGCCCCTTATCCTAGTAGTTTTGGTATCTTTCATTTTCATTTTTATTTGTTTAGTGATTGCACCAGCAAACAGAAACATTGAAATGACATCCAGGATTTTGAGGCAGATTTATTTATGACGACCAGCACCGATTGGGATTATTTCCAAAATATCAGGCCCTGAAGGCTCAGGAAGACTTTTATGGGGTTAAAAATGGAAGCACAGAGGCAGAATACTTGGCTGTCCTTGATTAGCTTTTACAATATGCCTCACGGTGACCAGCCATTTCTAGGAGACAGAAGCGACCAGAACTGGAACAGGAGCTGTCACCTGGGCAACTAACAGACCGGCTGGGAGGCATTTTCTGCTACAAGATATTTTCTAGGGAAATTCTTAATAAACTGGCCTAACAAACTTCTAACATTTTAGCAGGCTAAAGGCTTAGCCATTCAGGATGGGGGTGAAGCACTTGATCAGATATCAAGGGTAGAAGTAAATTAGTAGGATTCCTTGTTAAGAATGTGCTGGGCAGACCAAAGCTAGGACTGGGTCAAGGCTGAGACCTAGTCAGAAACAATGCTCAGAAGATCCTGCCTGATGTTTGGTGGAGGCTGTCTCACTTACTCAGGGACTTTGCTTGTACAGTTGTTGTCTGCCCTGAATGTCAGTATTTACCTCCACTAGGTTAATTTTATCAGCCCAATGACATTCAGTGATATTCTTTTTCCCCTTTTTGTATTGGGAATTGAATACAAGGCCTTTGCACTGAGATGCATCTCCAGTCCTTTCTTTTCTTTTTCTTTTTTTGAGACAGAGTCTTGTTAAATTGCTAAATTGCCCAGACTGGACTTGAACTTGTGTCCTCCTGCCTCAGCCTCCTACAGTGCTGGAATTTTAGGCATGTGTCACTGTGCCCCACTATCTTCCTTCTTTAACAACAGCACCAAGTACCAGTAAAAAACTATCCTAACATTACACTATGTGTGATGATTAATTCACTATGGGTCATGTACCAATTCCCCACAAGGAATATAAACATGTCCTACAAACATGTACTAATAAAAAATCTAAATATAAGAGCAAAAGAAAGTAGGGGGAAAACTTCATGACACAGATTTGGCAGTGATTTCTTAAACATAATACTGACATCACAGGCATCAAAAATAAAAATAGATAGTTGGACTTCATGAAAACTAAAAACTGCTGTACATCAAAGGACACAATCAACAGAATGAAAAGGCCCCCTATAGCAAAGGAGAACATGTTTGAAAATAGTACATCTGAAGAGGAATTGATACCTATAATGTATGCAAAACTCCTACCATTCAGCAAGAACAAATCTGATTCAAAAATGGGCAAAGAACTTGAATATCTGTTTCTCTAAAAATATACAAAGAGCGAACAAGCACATGACAAGATGCTCTGAAAAGATGCTCAATAGCTACTGCTCATTAGAGAAACATTTGATCAAAACTACAATGAAATATCAACTCATATGCATTAGGATGGCTACTATCAAAAAACCGAAATCTGGGGCTGGGGATTTAGCTCAGTGGCAAAGTGCCTGCCTAGCAAGCGCAAGGTCGTGAGTTCAGTTCCTGGTACCGAAAAAAAAAAAAAAAAAAAAAAAAAAAAAAAACCGAAATCTGAAAAAGCCCCAGAAAATATTAAGTATTGGTCAGAATGTGGAGAAACTGGAATCCATCATTGGTGGGAGGGTAAAATGGTGTAGCTGCTTTGGAAAATAGTATGATGGTACATCAGAAAAAAAACCAAAAAACAAAAAACAAAAATACACTGTTAAAGCTTGTGTCTAGATGTCCCCTCAAAGCCTCATGCAGTCATAGGTGGGGCTTTTTCAGAGGTGGTTGGAAAATAGTGTGTGCTGCTGGAATTGATTCATGGTGCAATGCTAGGATCAAGGGCACTAGGATTAAGGGTGTGAGTGCTACCCACCCTAAGTAGCCTGGATAAGGTATAAGAGATAGAACAAACTGCGGTCTCCCCTTGCTTGCTTTGCTACCTTTTGCCCACCATAAACTGTTTATCCTCTGTCATGCCACCCTGCCTTGGAGACACCTAATTATAGACTGACACCTCTACAAACTGTGATCTAAATAAATCTTTCCTAATTTAACTTTGGGTATTTTGGATATTTTGTCTCAGCAATGAGAAAAGTACTAAGACACACACAAACCCATGGAGTCACCATAGAGCCTGTAATTCCACTTAGTGGTATGTGCCCCAAATGATTG